AGAGAGAGAGAGAGAGAGAGAGAGAGAGAGAGAGACAGAGACAGAGACAGAGACAGAGACAGAGACAGAGACAGAGACTATAAAAAAGCAAGACAATCTACATGTAGATAGTTATTGTAACCCCCCCCCCTCCCAAAGATCCGCAATTTAAATGTTTGTCCCTCTAGTCTAATCCTGATCTATTTATTTATGCTTCACCCTTTGTCCCCACTCCCTGCCATCCCAGGCCTCCATCTCCCCCCGGTCTCTGCTTTCGTGTGTTTTTTAATGGACTTGTTGACCAATATCAAATTTTACGCTTTAAATGTAGGACGAAGGAGGTCTCTCTCTAGATTACATTTCTCTTCTTTCCTATTTTTACCCTGAAAGACAATTGTCATCAGGTTTGTTTTGATGTCTCTGTTTGTTTGTTTTAATGTTTCCGTTTGTTTGGATGAGGTACATGATGTTTTGATGTTTCCGTTTGTTTGGATGAGGTACATGATGTTTTGATGTTTCCGTTTGTTTGGATGAGGTACATGATGTTTTGATGTTTCCGTTTGTCTGGATGAGGTACATGATGTTTTGATGTTTTTGTTTGTTTGGCTGATGTGTTTTGCAGTTTTTTTGGACTGAGGCACATGTGTTTGCTTCATGCCCTGTCTTATCAGCGGGATTTAGCGTAGCTGAAATCTTGAAGGAGGCGGGTTGTCTATTGTTGTTTGTATTTATTTGGTTTGTGCTTGGGCTGATTCTTCGACAGCAGCCTAGTTGTTTGATCGTGAGATTGCGGGTTCTTGGGTTCAGCTCGGTCCGACGTTGTGTCCTTGGGAATGACCAATTACACAAATTTCCCCTTTGGCTCGGTCCTTTGGGAGATGGATATTAAACTCGGAGGTCCCGCCTCTTAAATAACCTAATATATTTCGAGTTGACAGAGGTGTGAAACATATACCACTATACCAGCTGATAATAATCATCAATGGTTTTATCACATTCTCCAAAATACCTAAAATGTTGAAAAGTTGTTACACACTCGAACGGTAATGATATTCTGACGTTGTGGTTTATTGGATGGGTGCCATGGTTACTGTAATACTTAAATATGCTATGTTAATCTTAAATCTGTGGGTGAGGTGAACGTTCATTGTATTCAGAGATGGTTCACAGATCGAAGTTCAATGCAACTAAAATTTTATATGTATGCAAAAGAGAAAGGAAGGGAGGAAACTCTGTAGATTTATTAAGCGAACAATTTACGAATGAGTTGTCTCCTCTTTGACAATATCTGGCAGAATGCATCGAGTCGAGGAAACTTAATGTGTCATTAGTTCAACTTTGACCTTACATTGATATAGTGATGTGTTTCATATACCATTATAAGCCGTCTTCTGGTTCAATGATTAGAGGAAGGAGGATGGTATGGTTTCTGTTGAGTTGAAGAAATCACAATATATTTTGTTGTAGTCTTGTAGAGAAGAAAAAAAGGATGCCGGTTTTATGACCC